GCAAATGCGGGGGTAGTTGGCGTGGAAATGTTTCTACGTTGTTTAACGTACTGACATAATATCAGATACAGACAATTGACATTTTAATGTCATTACTACCATCTATCTCAGCTCAGGAAATGTGGCTTGCGAAACCGCAAATTTCGCACAATTAGGGTTTTCAGACTTCAATCATGCGAACATCAGAACGTTATAAACTACCCACTCTGAAGATATCTTCGACGCAACAGGATATGTAAATAATACTAATGCCGTTCACATTCACTATGTGGTGTATTCCCTAGCTCGCACCCTTGATCCTTGGGTTCACTGTGGAAATATTGTTGCATTTACACCAATACCGACAATTGTCTACACTGCACACAGGACGCAGTGTCTCCATCAGCGACGTGTGCAGTTTTGTCCTTATTTCGGTTGCAACATTTGACCGTAGTTTAACCCGGCCAGCGGTGAAAAAGTTGACTGTGTTATTCTGGACTGGCTCAACGTCGTTCACCTTACTTCGTGTCCGGCCCCAATACGCTGCGTATTTTCAACCCAATTTCATTTACCTAGTCCAACCTTCCCTTGAAAATCTCTCTAACCAGCCTTGGTCGTCGCGATTCCCATGAATGCACTTGTCAACGGAAGGGGTGGAGGGACATACATGGGCGTCGCACACAGAAGTTGCCACATATTACAAACCGGAATGTCCTAGAGGCCAAGGATATGTGAGCGATGTGACTGGCCGGGTTAAGCTGAGTTCAAACGTTGCAACCGCAACATTGATGTTGATGGAATTAACGTTCCAGGTTGCAGTATTGTAGTTAAATCCCCCCCCCCACTTTGAGCCAGTGGTGACCTATGAAAATATGGGCATGTCCATGAGTTGGATAGATGGGATTTGCCTTCAATCTTCTCTTCATCTACGCTACTTCTTACTGTACTCTTACTTAGCTTGAAGACCCACTGAAGGCATTTGGGAAACATGCGCACTTTGATGGCTTGGATAAGCGTTTTTCCTTATTCTTCATATGGTGCTTACTTTCCCTTACACAGGCATGAGGTCTGCAGGACATGGACCTAATGAAGGGGCAAACTGCTGATGTCCTGCAACTACCCCACCTAATTTGTGTACGTAATTCATCGTACCACTTGTGTGCGGTGCGTCATTAATTCTACTGGATTTATATTTCATCCTAGCTCCCTTTATTTCTAACTGAAGAGTGAACTCAAGGAGAGGGCCCGTAGCTGAGTTCAGTCTTGGGAGGGTTTAGCTACCTTAAATTTCCAAATCTCGAACTGACCGATGGTTAATTTTGACAGTCAAGGCCCAAAATTTGCCTGTGTTGCAATATATAAACACATTGAGCACTTGAGGACAATAACCAGACTGGCGTTTGGTCACACGGGCAGTGTGAGTTTTGTCCACACACGTAGGTGAGCAGCTCGAAAATCCACCAAAATACCAGGTATGACCTAGACACCTGTTCCGGTCACACTCACTCGAGAAGATAGCTCGACAGGGAGTGCATTAGGCAATCTACTAAGGCTTCAGTGGGTCTTCAAGCTAAGTAGGAGTACAGTAAGAAGTAGCGTAGATGGAGAAAAGATTGAAGGCAAATCCCATCTATCCAACTCATGGACATGCCCATATTGTCATAGGTCACCACTGGTTCAAAGTGTGGGGGGGGGATTTAACTACAATACTGCAACCTGGAACGTTAATTCCATCAACATCAATGTTGCGGTTGCAACGTTTGAACTCAGCTTAACCCGGCCAGTCACATCGCTCACATACCCTTGGCCTCTAGGACATTCCGGTTTGTAATATGTGGCACCTTCTGTGTGCGACGCCCATGTATGTCCCTTCACCCCTTCCGTTGACAAGTGCATTCATGGGAATCGCGACGACCAAGGCTGGTTAGAGAGATTTTCAAGGGAAGGTTGGACTAGGTAAATGAAATTGGGTTGAAAATACGCAGCGTATTGGGGCCGGACACGAAGTAAGGTGAACGACGTTGAGCCAGTCCAGAATAACACAGTCAACTTGTTCACCGCTGGCCGGGTTAAACTACGGTCAAATGTTGCAACCGAAATAAGGACAAAACTGCACACGTCGCTGATGGAGACACTGCGTCCTGTGTGCAGTGTAGACAATTGTCGGTATTGGTGTAAATGCAACAATATTTCCACAGTGAACCCAAGGATCAAGGGTGCGAGCTAGGGAATACACCACATAGTGAATGTGAACGGCATTAGTATTATTTACATATCCTGTTGCGTCGAAGATATCTTCAGGCAGTTCAAGCAACCGATGCGTTGAACTAATGCTATTTATGCCAAGACTTAGTTAACTAAATCTAACGGAACAGAACATCGGGTAAATACTTCAAAGTTCTGTTCCGTTAGATTTAGTTAACTAAGTCTTGGCATAAATAGCATTAGTTCAACGCATCGGTTGCTTGAACTGCCTGTAGGACACCATGCTTTTAGCTTGCCGCGAATTTCCAAGAGCTAGGATCATTACGTTCTCTAGGTGGAAGTGATGACTTTCTTGGTCTTCATGCATAGAAACCAGTGAATGTGGATCGTGTCGCCATGTGGCCATTTGTATTATTTGATCATGTGCCTGTCGAAGGAGCCAAACTCAGAATGACGGCTCCTTCGCCTAGAAGATCGACCACGCACTCACTGACGCATCGTGCCACCTCGCTCCGCTACATCTACACGCACTGACGATCACCTCGAATGGTGATGAAACGTTTGCAGCCAAACTGTCGAGCTCAACGGACGCTCATACACCAACCGAACAACCTGAGCTACCAATATTTGCTTCTATAAAAAAGCAAGTGCTCGACAATTGTAGTGAGATTGCCAGAATGAGCAACACAAAAGGTAAAAAACGTATTGATAAAATGAAATGCGTTTTGGTACAATGACCATAGTGTTTATACTGAAGCATGCATTAAAGAGCCTTCCTCGACTGTGCAGAATAATGCGGGTTAATGTACGGTTTGTCACGTTGTATCGTCTCCCCATATACACAGGCTGTATCTCATAATGTAGGAGGTCAGTGAAAAGTCAGGGTATTTTTAAACAACATAATATGGGGCGGAAACAACGTTAGTTGGGAGGACGTTCGATGGCTGACAGACACAGAAAGCAAACCTTTCGCCGAAATTCCAACCCCATGTACAACGTGACCATCTTGTACTAGGGAATCTTAGGTTCATATTATGAGTTAGCTGCAGTAGGTGGCGACAGACGTGGTTGGGTACCTCAGAAAGTGGTAGGCCATTATTGGGTCGCTACGTAGGCGCCGATACCAACCGATGTACAGTCCTCGAGTTGCTATGGAAGGTGGAACAATCCTTTTACCTTCTTTATTGGCTTCTCGCTGTGTTCTCACGAGAGCTACGAGGTGTTTTTTGCGCCAGTGTTTCACATGAAACCACACGTATGCGTTAAGCAACTGCGGACGGACAGATGGAAGATATATTGTTTTGAGCAGCCCAGAGCAGGCTGGATTAATATCCAATAATCGCTCTCCCGGATAACTCCTTACAGGTCATGGTTGCCAAGCTTGTATATTATACTCGGTTAATATCATTGTGGGCCACGTTCCACGTAGACGGATTAGACTGGATTAGATTGGAGTGATCATTCGTACGCCCTGTTCAGGTCTAGTTGAAACGCTTCGTGATCTTCTTGGTTGAAAATAGCACGCCACATCATAACTCCATCAACGAGAAGCAAGAAATCCGAGGCAATCAAACAGGTAAACTCCTTAATGAACATCAGAAACGAACGCGAAGCCGGAACCGATCCTTGTGGAACGCCACATTCTACGTGCACCGGATCGGACAGCGCACTTCGAACTCTGTAGTTGCCAATGGTGCAGGAAATACCTAATCTATCCAAGGACAGGATCACTGACTCCATAGGTTTCGTGCCTATGAAGCAGAATGTGATAGTTGAGGCGGTCAAAGACAATGTCGAAGCGAATGACGTCGGTCAGTGTTCTTTTACCAACCGCTTCCGTTCAGCTACCGCATGCAGTTAGTAGCTTAGTTGAGCATAAACTGTGTTGGCGGAAACCGTGCTTCTCTAATACTTTTATGTTGTAGCGTTCCAGATGCGCAACTAAAGACTCACTGTTGACTACCTCCGTCACCTGAAAGAGTAAAGTGAGGAGGATCACTGGATAATAGTCCTCAGGTTCCGAGCTAACTGCCGTCATCCTATTTAGGTGCAGGCATATCAATGCCTTTCAAGCTAGTTTATGGTGCGTACACAAAAGTATGCTCAAACGATGTTGCTGCTGGCTTATGTTTTCTTACGTCAATCCTACTGAAGAAAGGAGCTACTCACCCATAGCTAACCCATGACAAAAGGAAAGATGTGACGCGCTCTACGGACCGGGACGGATCGAGCAGTCGATTTTATGCTCTAAATGAAAACATTGGGTGAACTCAACGTATACTTGGATAGTCACTTCTTCCCGTGTTATCGACTGCACAGGCTTCTTACCGTTTGGATTAGCTAACAGAATGCGTTTTGCACAAAGGGGCATCCCTGAGATAAAGTGATGTACATATCCACAACGAACCACTCGTGGCCACTTCAAAGTTTGTGGCAAACTATTATTCCAACTTGGGAACCGGGCTCTTTTCATCTCGATCACGCAACCATTTGTTCTAAAGTGACCGAAGCCCCAGTGAATACTCTCTGTGAGAACCACGATCTAAAAGAAGCTCCGTTTTGTTTTAGAAGATCAGGTTGACTCATTAGGGGCGCGATCTTCATTAGAAGCAAAAGAGGCCAGACATTGCAAGCATGTCTATGACCGCTAGATTCAATGAGATGGACCACGGTCTCACGATGAGATTAGCACTGGTAGTGCATTTAGCATGGTCCTACAAATAATGTGAAGCAGTCCTTTGCACATTTGAGATCTATTTACTCAAGGCGCTTCGTAGACTTTCAGCTTTTACTTTATTGGGATCTTTGCGTTGCAGAAAGAAAGTGAAGCTCTAGATGAAGACGAAGAAACTGCAGTGGTGGAAGAACCAACAAAAGAAGCTACAATCAACCAACAGTTACTACACGATGTTGCCGTTAATGAAAAAGGGGAGGTCGATGTAAGTTTCCAGAATATACGCTATCATTTTCAACCTACTTGTTCAACAATTTTTCAGTATAATCGGGTTTAGCTTAATTATATGTTGCTTTATCTGCCGGAAGTGTATTATGCTCGCTATTGTTTGTCTACTACTCGCCAAACCAGGTAGGAACACAAGTACTTTTGTAAGGCGACTTTTAACTTGCGTTTACTAAATTGTCTCACTGACAGGCGTATGTGTGAAGCAGTTTAAGTGGTGCAAGCGTTTGGCCTGCGACCCGCCTCATCATAGCGTGAGTTTGGGCAACTTTGCCGTTTCCAAGTCCACGTATGGCCGCTTTCGCGGTATGCACCGAAGCTAAACGACAGTACACAATAACGACGTACAGCTGCTACTGCGCTTTCGCACCTCCACTGAAGTGTTTGCACTCTCATCCACTAGTAATACAAAAGTTTACATCTTTCCGCTAAATTGGCCAATCTTCACCATTCCATTAATGTTTCAGATAAACACTTTGTCCAGCTTATGAGCTGTGGCAGCGAATTCAACATGTGCAAATTAGGATTTGTGTTCTCCCCCTGTGTCTGGGTCCGAATCAGTTTTATCTTCCGCTTTAGCAAACAGATGAAAACGGCGACGATGCCCTCAGGTTTAGTGTGATTCCACGACGAAAACAAAACGGCGTACACCCTACCTTGAGTCATTCACGAGTCGCTAATGAGTAGCATCCTGTGAGCATATCGCCTATGAATCTGAAGTAATTATGCTGGGAAACAACCTACGTGAAGCCATACGTTTGCTACACCAACGAGCACGCGTGTCGTAACCTACCAAATTATTCCAAAAGGTCAGTTCATCGCAAAAGTCCAAGTACAAATCCGGAAAAGCACCAGTCGATCGTTGCACACTGCTGGAGACCGTCAGTGGTACGCATTCCCTAGGTCTTATTCAGGAAACCGAACCCATAACCCCTAGTGGCTTGTACCACTAACCAGCACTTTATAACACAGCCATCTGGGACGATAGCTGACCATCATCGCTTGTAGTCTAGATGCGATATAGGCCTATCCGTAATCAGATGTGTCGATTCCCCGTAAACTAGTGAGCTTGTTGGTACATCGACAACAAATGAGATTGCCTAACTGTTGGCATCTAAGGTGCTACGTTAAAATTGGGTCAACCCACAGTAGTGTATGATCAGCAAATACTCGTCCTTGTATTGTCGATCTATGCTTTCCCTTTCACTTCCTGACCTCAGTTGTGTAGAAGGAAGATCAGACCTTCATCCAATAATCACCGAGTGGGAGAGCTATAATACTCTAGTGACGTTTTACTTAGTCTTCGTCAAACCAGTACATCCAGACTCATAACATTGGGGTTCTTGATTGCTAAAAACTCGTCAACCCATTGAGGTTTCCTAATCTGATTACCACAAATTTACCTATATCTTTGCCTTGCAAGACTACTTGAGATGCATCCAAGTCATGAGAAGCAGGTTTCAACAGCTGCTGGAGCATCCATATATAACATGGGTTAACCGTTTATTCACTTACGCACACCAAGAGAAATATTACAGATTTAAAACGCTGACAGGAATAGGAAGATTTCTAAAGTTTTAGGAGCAGGCATATCAACGAAAGTGCTTACAAGCACGTCACACCGACCCACACACTGGGATGAATCCAAGTGCGCAGAATCAGGCAGCCCGTACACTTTTGCCTCAGTCAACTTGAAGTCGCTTCAGTAAAGTGAATAGGACAGTTGGTAAAGGCGAGGCGGATTACACAAAATACATGATTCACTAAATGATGCCAGCAAATGTAAACTCCTTACCAGAATATAGGACGATGGTGAAGTGGAAAGAGGCATTACAGATGACTTAAAGCTGCTCCTCTTGCGATTGGTGGAAAGTACTTGCAGCCTAAAACTGGAGGTTCCATCAAATAACAGTTGCCGGATACCCATAACTGTGGCATACCGCTTAGATTAATGTGTTGATTGCCAACCCCACAGTATAAGGTATCTTTTTCGTCAGTGGAAGATCTTGCACCGTTAATGCGGCAGTTATTTCACACAATTTGGAGGACAGATTCGAGGTTATCAAAGCTGCAGCCGAAATTAGGTATTCTACAAAATCATAGTCTTATTGTATATACAATGGCCTTTCTTAAGTCTTCCATTATATGAGATAGTTGAACATGTGCTCCATTCGGCAGAGTAGCCGGGTTTGCAACTTCAATACCAATCGAATTATCGAAAGTTTAAAGCACCTGCAGTGTGCCGACACACAGTACCGACGGTTTGTTGCCACGCTACCACCAACAGTCGCGCGTAGACTGAGTATACCCCGAGTTCGTCCGTTACTACGCAGTTTCGAACTGGTGACCCACGCATAATAAGGCAGGCGCGTAACCCTGTCAGACACCGGCCTTCCGCTACTTATAGAAAACATCGATTTTTACTTCCAAAACATTCCATATTGCAAGATGCAGAGAATGGAATTTGGTATTCCGTTGGGTCAGGTACCAGCAAATTTTCATGCTGATGTATGAAACAAAATCGGATGGGAAAATAGCACTAACCTCCCACTACAAACGATACCTGGATACTAGCCTTTGTTCTGCTCAAGAGAAAATCAGGTCATGAGTCCGGTAAATCAGCTGAGCAACGCGCACACGAATCCGAAAGATACCAGCCATTCGGAGAAAATCAAATATCTCCCCTATCTGAATATGTCGATTTATCGAAGAGATACTTGAAGGATCAGGTGAACTGTTCGCCGAAAACCTATTTGGTCCAGGCAATACTTACGCTCTGCCTGCAAGCGAACTTTAGTCAGAACGATATTTAACTGTCCAAGACAAGTGTATTAGTGATAGCGTGGATGAAGAAATAAACGTACTCACGACTATGCAGTTGAAAAATTGCCATCCAAGTAGATTTATTCAGGAAGTTAGTCAAGTGATACTACGTCAAGAGAAGATCATCATCTTTGCAAAGACGGTCTAGATTGAAAATAAATTTGAGGGTGATTTGTCAAGAGGCCAATGAAGCGCATAATTCCGCTGTCCAAGTGACTTAATGAGACGCAGAATCATTATTAATCGGAATCATCGAATAGAGGTCTCTCCAACGGTAGAAAACGCCTATCAGCGCTAATTAAGGTTGTAGTTATCAATTCATTAGTAGCTGCGATTCATTCTGTATCGACTGAAATGATATTGCCTTAAACTTCAGAATGACCGAACCTGTGCTTAGATGGCTGCAGCGTGAAATGGCACAATCTTGGGGTTCCGATACCATCGGTTCACGAAAGTCACTTGCCTTATTCATAGGTAAACATTACGGCCAACTGTCATCTGCTTGACCCTGTTATATGGTTTGTACTCCTGCTGAGATATGCCTTCTACGCTTTGCCGAGGCCGTCGCAATCAGCCGGATCAAACCTTTACCCTGTGTGCATAAAAGGCTGTGCGTAAGCTTTGTATTACTATGCTTATAAGCGTATCACGTCTGGTTTTCACCCCTGTCCATACTTTGTCTTGGTCATATGTTTTTTGTCATTGTATCGGGACCGACGTGACAGTACGAAATGCTGTCATCTGCCAGTTTTCGTCTTGTTGCTTTAGTAGGCTCCGCATACCTCGTATAGCATACAGACACATTGCATTTCGGATTTATATGGACCGACAACCCTGACCAGCATTAGTATTTTGTTTCACTGAAGCGGTAGCAGTATTTAGTCGCAAATGGCCGGTTGGTTTGTCTAGATTAGTGTCTAGCTTGCTGGGTACACATGGAATTGTTTGTGTGTGTTGGGTGCATCAGATGCAGCTCTGGGTAATGTGCTGCTTCCAAGATCGTGTTACATTCAAAACCTTGACCACAATTTGGCTGCCACATCTAGATCTACTGTTCTAGTAGCAGGTAACAACCCAGTTTTGAAACCTCACTACTGTCTGTTCAGTGACATAACGTTTCTCTGCCCAGTTGTTCGGTCGTGGTATTGACATGTACATTTGGCCCATGGAATCTCGTTTTATGTTCTTCTTCAGCGACTGTCGCAAAACACAGTATCATCATCCCGACTTTCTAACGTTTCCGTCAGAATCACTCGTGCTGTTACGTCGAAGGTGAGTCAAGACTGTTTCAATGAGTGAGATTGAAGAAAGAACGAGTTGCTCAAAACTTTTATCTACTGCATTACTGCCACATAACATGACATAGGCAGATTACTAACTCGTTGCTTAGACGGATTTGCATCTTATACCTAGCATATCAACTGCTGGGCTAACCCCTCTGCTAACGCGGGACTAAACATATTACTGTTCCTCGGCATCATCTAAATCTCTGTACAAATGAACCAAACTGACTAAACTTATGGTTGTTATTGTCTGTCTTGCTGAGTGACGCTGAATACGTCGTGTCGGAATACATCTAGCTACCGTGATTGAATTACATAGGGTAAGTTTGCAAATAGGCGTTTTTGAGCTATTCCAGATAGAAGGTAAAGGTCGTAATTATCATCATTGTGCCACTTTAATTCTCGAGTCAAATGAAGACAGAGTTCCATTACTATGTCCAATATAACTATTCGGCCTACAAACAGCATAACGCACTTTGTTGCATAATGTGGCACCTTCCGAGATATTCTAATAGTTAACATTTAAATGCGCCAAGTGCAATACGTAATGATTTTTCCACGAAAGGTGAACAACTATTAACTTATCAAGTGCTTTGTATTTTAACGCTGTAAAATAAAGTGGGCTGTTCAATTCCAACGGGTAAAGTGCAGGCTCAGTGATGTTCGTACTCTTGGTTGCGGTTACGTGACATTATCGGACATACATTTCAGCGTGGGGGCGACAGACCCCACTAAGTAATCAACGACATTCGGTAATGTCAATCACTGACGTATGATACTAATTTGCTGGCTGACATGAACATTACTGCACAACGTACGTAGTTTTAAAGTGAAAACTAGTTTTAAAGGGAAACCTATTTTCTTAGCTAGCCACGTACATGTTGGTCAAATCATTATGCTCTGATAGGATATCCGCTATTCTAAATCAAACCTTATGTACTAGGTGAGGTACCTGAAGATGAACTTTGTAAGTGCTCAATACAAAGATAGGTTACAGGAAAAGCACCGCCATGGACACCATTATCCAGTTTTGAATCCGTGATCCATGATTCCTAATTTCTATGATCAGCAAGCAACCGTTTTTATCGGCGGTTCGCATATGCTGATGCTTGCGCTTTCCTCAAAGTTGGGTGTGTAAACAAGTGTTGATAGACCTCGTACATTAAGCTAGTTATTTATGACGTATGTGCCTAATGCGTTTATACTTGCTTAGTTACTTGATTAGGCACAAGGATTATTCCACCCATCAGGCAATGCTAATTATTCCGCTCATGCAAACGTCAATCTGTTCTGTTGCTTAAACTTCTTTCAAAAGTTTGTGGAGCTTTAGTGGGCGCCCATTTTACCTGTAACGTATTGTACTTAGGTGGTATTTGCTTGTGTACATGCCCAATCCAGGCGAAACAGAGGTTGAGCAGCGACGGAGGTGAAGCACTATGAATATAGGGCATTTTTACCTGCCGTGGCACGTACTCATTTCCAGGAAATCTAGTTCCCAAATTAAGTAGCCCAAGGTTTTTCGAAACTATTAGCCTATGCTTGTGGACTGCCACGTCACGCACAATTTCGTGGCTCAATACATTGTCTCGAAACGGAAACAACTATTGCTTCGAAGCATATTGTGATCGAAAGACATCAGTGCTAGAATCGAGTCACCATAGACGGAAACCGCATTTCTATACTAAATGGAATATATAGTAGCTCTCTGGCAACAATTAATCCATCTAAGATTCTCCTCCGCATTTCGGGATAAGACGCCAATGACTAATTTTCAGCTGGCTACCACAACTCTGTGCTTGAACATTCTGTTTATATTATCTCACTGAGATGCATGCCATCAAGGACAGGCGAACCTTGCTGGTAACGATAGAATAGTATTATAACAAATGACAAAACCACCCATCGATCTTCATCTACTGGAAAACGGATTTGCCTCACAATCCACAGTTCGTACCAATGAACAATAAACAATAACTTTATACGGATTTAAGTAGCGTTGCTTTACACGTCCCGTTGGATAGTTGATAGGGATATCGAAATAATAGTAATTATGATAATAATAATAATAATAGTAGTAGTAGTAGTAGTAAAACAGTTAGTACTTCAAGTATGAAAATAGTAACTTATCGTTTGCTCCGCCACAGTCCTGCAATCCGCGTAGATTCACAGCACTCACAGTTAACAACAAATAACTAAATGGTAAACTCCAGGTGTAAGATGGAGACGTAGCGCTAAGTGACAAAGTGTAAGTGGATGAATGCGTCATCCAACCGTCTTTTAAATTTGGAGCTGTTTATTTGTCCAAAAGCCCTTCACAACAGCCCGACGTTTTGGCTCCCAGTCTTTGAGGCCTTTTCGGATTGCCTGGAGCAACCCAAGTCATCTTGAACCAGGACACCCAAGTCAAGTTCGAGAGTGGATTGTTGTAGTCTATTCGTTCCGAGCCGGTATGAGTAGCTCCTCTGATGTCGGATGGAATGGACCTTGCATTTACTGACCTAGAAATGCAGTACGTTTTGGGTTGACAATTGATACATCTGCAACAATACAGAAAGCCAACCCCACCATCCTGACTGGATTCTGTCTAATTCCCGTGGACCTGGATGTATCACAAAGCACTCTGGAGGACCTTGTTTTGAGGCGAGAGGATTTACCTTTAAACGCGGACAATAGACTAACCTACCAATTAGGGCCAAGGCCCATGTCCACACTTTTGTCTCTCAGTGCTCCTGCTGACTTGATCAATCCTCCTTCCCCTTCCGCAGTCTCAGTTTCGTCTTCTACCACACAGATAGTCGATCACACAGTCCCATTCTGCGTTCTACTCGCGGAGGATCCACGATTGGTGCGTGGGTGCAAATATGCCAATAACGAACCAAATTGGCTGCATTTTAACATGCTGCTTTCCATACCAGACGATATTCGCGGGAACAGCATAGTAAGGAGCTTAATGCCGCATGTACCATCTTATTCTCTCGTAGATGGGCGCCGACAAAACGCAAAAATGTACCGCCAGTTATTAAGAACAATCAACAACGCCGAGGTCTACAAAATGGCCACCACCAGCGTCTCTATCATACGAGGCGTAAAGATGCAGCAGCAACTGTTGTTGATGGCAGATGGCGAACGACTTTCCTACAAGAAGTCGACCGTATCACTGGTTTTATCGGCTTTTATGCAAAAGTTATTTCTCAGCCTTCAGTACATGACGACCGTACACCTCGCTATGTCTTCCCCACTAATCCGGATTTAGTGAGTCCCATCACCCAAGAAGAGCTGCGCGCTGCGCTTCGTCAGATGCAAGGCTCTGCACCGGGGGTTGACCGTGTCACACCACGGGATGTATTGGGGATGGACCGCGATATTATAGCTGCGTTTCTCAACGCTCTCCTCGCTTCTTCGCCCTTCTCTTCACACATGAATACAGCACGGATCACCTTTGTCCCCAAGGCAGATGCAACCACTTCTCCTGAGTTATTTCGGCCTATTTCCGTCACTTCCGTCTTTACTCGTCTGCTTCATCAAATCCTATTTGACCACTGGGTCCCCACTTTTCCTTCCAAGCGTCTACAATTCGGCTTCCTAAGTAAGGATGGATGCTTTGAAGCACCTGCGATAATGCATGCAACACTGCGACATGCGCATCCTTCATACTTTCCACTTTCCTTTGCTTCAATTGATATTTCCAAAACCTTTGATTCTATCTCTCATCAGTGCTTACTACACGCGGCCTCTGCTTTTGGCGCACCCCCTCTGCTACTGGATTACTTTGCTTCTCACTACTCATCACATACTTCAACGTTCAACATTCACCTCCATCCAGAACGAGGAGTTAGACAGGAAGACCCTCTATCTTCCCTACTATTCATCATGACGCTGGACGGAGCTCTGCAAGAGCTACCCTCTGAACCCTGGACATCCCCAGTAGGGCCAATTGATTATCTCGCCTACGCCGATGACCTCCTGATCTTCGCCCAGGACCGGTTTTCGCTACAGAAGCGCCTGCGACATTTCAGTGATAGACTCACCCTCATAGGATTGTCTATCAATCAGATGAAGTCAACCTCAGTCAATATTTAGTGGACCGTTCAAGAAAACTAACGATACTGGACACCGCCCCTTTAGACTGTGGAGGTTTCATTATTCCTTCCTTGCAACCAGAAGAGAAGTTCACGATGTTAGGCTTGCCTTTTAGTTGGAAATAAAAGCTCCAACCAACTTCCGCAGGCGACTTACGGGCTCAAATGGAAGAAGTTACTAAAGCGTCACTAAAACCCTACCAGCGCTTGGAGCTTCTGAAGACGTTCCTGCTTCCAAGACATCTTCATAAAATCTGCTTAGCCGTTGTGAACAGACGCTAAAACGCATGAACAGACTTGTTCGAGCCCATGTGAGAAAATGGCTCCGGTTTCCCACTGACACAAATCTGGCCTATTTCCACGCCTCAACAAGGGATTTTGGTATCGGTATACCCTTCTTATCCGCCAATATTCCACTGTTACGGAAGGACCGATTAGAATGATATCTTAATAATGCACACCAAATTACTAGCTGGGTTATCCGAGGTCCCGCAGCTGGCTCCATTTATCGAGTGACGCGCTGCAATGCTGCCATCGGCAACCGAGTGTTGATGGATAAAGAATCAACCGCGGAAGCATGGAAAGGCGCGGTACTTATCTCAGCAGACGGGTGCCCGCGCCGGGAAGTGGTCACCACACCCGCTGCACATCACTGGTTGCGAAGTCCGACCAGGATATTACCTGGACTGTTCTATCGAGCAATACAGCTTCGAGGTGGGTTACTCTCTACAGAAGTACGACCCACAAGGAGACGGCCGCCTGAGAACCAATCCCCGCTACTCTGTCGCGGCAACTGTGGATAAAGGGAGACTCTGTTCCATGTCCTACAATCATGTGGCATCAAGCATGAAGCACGATGTAAACGTCACAACGTCATTACCAAGTAAGTCACCCAAAAACTCCGCGAATG